AAAAAAGTTAAATAAAAATTCTCTTTTTGAGCTGAGTCGAGCACGGCTCGTTAATCAAACGAGCTTTAAAGGAACTCTCACTACAAGAAAATGATGAAATTCCAACGGAAATTTTTTCCAAAAGAATTATTCCAACGAAAATTCCAACGGATATTTCAATACTATTATTTCCGTTGGAATTTTTCAATGGATTCCAATGAAAATTCCAACAAAAATATTCTGTTGGAATTGGTTTTCCATTGGAATTTCCGTTTGATTTTGACGATTCCAACGGTGGATTTTTCAACGGGGGTGGAAATAAAAACTCCGTTGGAATTTGTATATTTCAACGGTAAAAAGCCGTTGAAAATATAGCCGTTGGAATCATCAAATTCCATCTAAAATTCCAATGAAAAACACATTCCAACGGAATATTTCCGTTGGAACCATTCCAACAGAAGCTATATCATTGGAATATCCGTTGGAATTTCCATTGAAATATATTATCATAGGATTTTTCGTTGGAATATAACTATTATTTTGTAGTGTCTAGCTCGGCTAGTTTGAGCCAAACTCGAGCCTTAACGAGTCGAGTCGGGTCGAGCCAGACTCGTTTAATTTAACAACACTACTCATGATATAAATTGATATTTTTGTTCACAATAAGAGCAATATTTCATTCTTTCCATGATAAGATAATCAAAACACACTCGTGCGGATCTATGTGGTGATTAATGGTAAAAATATAGAACAAAAGATGTTTAAACTTATGTAATTGTGTACTACAAAAAACGGCCAAAGTAAATTTCTCAATGCAATTGTTTGGATGCCTAATTTAATTGTAGATTAATTTTTTATAATCCAAAATCAAATGAATAGAAAGGAAAGGGAAAAAAAAAAGTTTGTTTTTGTTTTTATTTTTGGAGTGTCCCCAAATTGTTAGGTGGGTTTCTAGAACCGTGCTGCTTCCGGGAAGCGACTCTGTTTTTTTACATGCAATTGGAGATGCATATGTAAGCCATTACGTCATCCACAAGCCATAGTGTGATCGAATGGCCAATTGGGCCCGACTTGTTTTGGGCCGACCGACGGGTCATGTTTTCACAAACCTTATATGGCGAATGGGTCCTTACAAAATGACGATCCAAATATATGTTTAGTTTCGGTTCTCGCCTTGACCCCGAGTCAAGAAGCCTGTTCTCCTAGTCAACGGCCCGAACATAACATTGGTTTAGTTTCGGTTATCCCATCATTTATCTTGTCCTGTGGATTGACTTTTATGCCCTCCAAATGCATAGTAGTTGTTAATTTTTTTTTTTGGTACAAGGACCTTCCGGTTTCTGAATCCACAGGGGAACCGACTAATTCGGAATCGAGCCGGGTAGGACCACAAGGGCGGCAAAGCTCT